AAGGTGCCATCGTGAGCAGATAATCCGTGTTATTCACTTCACCTCTCAGTGGTCAGAATGTTATGACTGATCGGTATATAAACTCTATGCTTTTAGCTCAGTCCTGCTGGTTTCCTTCAGCCACTTCCTGTATAAATGCTCTCACCACACAGCGTGTCCCCCCCGCTCCCCCCTAGTGATATAGATTTATTTTGTGTCATTGACCAGAAGTACAAATAATCCCGCAGGGTTTGTTTATCTTGCAGCTCCCAGTGCTCCAGCGTCCATTAGATTCAGTGAACTGACCACGACATCTGTGAACGTATCCTGGGACGCTCCTGTGTACCCCAATGGAATTCTGGAAGGGTACAGGCTGGTGTATGAGCCCTGCACCCCAGTGGATGGTAAGCGACGGTTGATCATTGATACCATAAAAGCGATGTGTCCTCACTTTTCGGAATCTCCACTGAGGAATCGGGAAGTGGACAGATTTCAGGCCTCTGGCCATTTATAGAACAGCTTCATCGTGTTTGTAGTATTTGGCAGAAGAGGAAGAGCTGGGAGCTCCAGGAGGTGGTTTCCATGCTGGAGTTCTATGGGCCTGCTCCATGGCACATGAAGCAGAAAACATGCCTGTGCCAAAATGCTGCATGAGCAATGTTTTCATTAAAGGAAAAGTCAACCTTTTCCCACAAAAATTATAAATGCTCAAATATTCATAAAAGAAAAAAACTGCATTTATTAGTTTTGTGCATTGCAGCCAGTAAGGCTTTGCAACCATGATGCGTGGTTCACGGGTGCAATGCTCTGGCTCCTGCAGACTCTTCCAGCCGTCCCTGTCTGTACCAAGGGATGGAACCTGAATATGGGTGTAACAGGAAACATGATAGAAGGGGAGGACGGAGGTCAGATAGAAGACTGAAGGGGAGGACGGCGGTCAGATATAAGATTGAAGGGGAGGACGGGGGTCAGATCGAAGGGGAGGACGGGGGTCAGATCGAAGGGGAGGACGGGGGTCAGATCGAAGGGGAGGACGGGTTCAGATAGAGGACTGAAGGGGAGGACGGGGGTCAGATAGAGGACTGAAGGGGAGGACGGAGGTCAGATAGAAGACTGAAGGGAAGGACGGAGGTCAGATAGAAGACTGAAGGGGAGGACGGGGGTCAGATAGAAGACTGAAGGGGAGGCTGGAAGTCAGATTTAACTAGAAGTGTGATTGTACTGGTTGCTTTGCACTGCGTTATGAAATGGAGATGATTTCATGTATTTCTGATTTCTCTTAGGAATTAGTAAGATAGTGACAGTGGATGTGAAGGGGAACAGCCCCCTGTGGATGAAACTGAAGGACCTAGCTGAGGGAGTGACCTACCGCTTCCGGTTACGAGCAAAAACCTTTATCTATGGACCGGACTTAGAAGCCAATGTGACCACCGGACCCGCGGATGGTAAATGTCTTCTACAATATGAGACCTGGAAGCTCTGTGATTTATAGATAAATGTTCAGTTGTTATGGATTTGTTTTACCCCTTATAAATGTAACTCTAAAGGGAAGGGGGGAAGGCACCTTCCTTCCCAACTTCCTTCCCACCATCCTTCCTTTCTTACCTAGCTTCCTTGCTACTTTCCTTTCTTCCTTCCTTTCAGTTTTTCGTTTCCCCTTCCTTCCCACCTTTCATCTTTTTCTTCCTGCCTTCCTTCACTTTCCTTCTTCCTTTTCTTCATTTCTTTCCTTTCTTACTTCCTTCCCACCTTCCTTGTCAACCTTCCTTCCAACTTTCCTTCTTTCCCTTCTACCTTTCCTTCATTTCTTTCTTCCACCCACCTACCATCCTTTCCCTCATTTCTTTCTTCCTTCCTTCCTTTTCTTCCCACTATCCTTCCCTCCTGCCTTCATTTCTCTTTCCTTCCTTTTCTTCCTTCCCACCCTTCTTTTCTTCCTTTCCAACTTCCTTCCTTCCCAACTTCCATCCTTCCCACCTTCCTTGTCATCCTTGCTTCCTTTCCTCCCCACCTTCCTTCCAACCTTTCTTCTTGCCCTTCTACCTTTCCTTCCTTTCCAACTTCCTTCCTCCCTACCTACCATCCTTTTCTTTATGCCTTCCTTCCTTTCCCCTATTTTTTTTCTTCCTTCTCACCTTCCTTCCTTTTCTTCCCACTGTCTTTCCTTCCTTCATTTCATTCCTTCCTTTTTCTTCCCACCTTCTTCCTTTCCTTAATCCTTTCAAGGCAATGCAGTGACTTAAAGTGACATTAAACCCTCAGATTTTTTAACATAAACCAATACTGTAATGTGCGCCTTACTGTACTCCATGGTAGTTTCCCTTCTCTTTGCTGCTCTTCCTTTTAAATCCTCATGTCTTCTCATGCTGGGAGAGAACTTCCCTTTGCAGCTCAGGGCCTCTTCCTGTAGTGCTGGCTCAGGTTACAAACCTATACAAACCTACACACAGACACCGTGTATCCATTCCAGAGACAAGGCAGTCTGCTGCAAAACAGAAGTTCTGCAGAGCATGATAACAGATTTAAAAGCAAGAGCAGCAAAGAGAAGGGAAACAACCATGGAGTACAGTAAGGCGCACATTACAGTATTGGTTTATGTTACAAAATCTGAGGGTTTAATGTCACTTTAACTCTGCTGACATTGGTTATAACCTGCCATGTGTTATGTGCGGTTGGATACATTCCAGTTCTCAGTGTGTGTAAGGGAACGTTCGATGGAGCAGCCTACATGATGTCAATGTCAGAATTCAAACTTGATCAAACGATTGGCCATGGAGACTCCTACAAATTGTGATAGTCCAGAAAATAAAGAGATTCCACTTCTAACAACTATCACTGAACTGTATTATTCGGCTGCTTTTTATCTATTTATTTTTAACTTAAGTATAACTATTTTCTTCAAGGAGCGCCCGGACCTCCAGGGGTGCCATCCATCTCCCGATACGGCTCCTTAATCGCCATCCAGTGGTCAAGCGGGGATCCAGGAAAGAGTCCAATCACCAGATATGTTATAGAGGCCAGGCCCTCAGGTACACCCACAATGTGTAGGTGGTTTTTTGTTCGTAAAGAATCAAGGCAGCTGGACTCGCTGTATTTTTCTTGAAGATGTTTTGCTGGTCATCAGACTTATTTTTTTTCAGTTCAGAAACCTACTTGGTAGGGATGCAGCGATACCATTTTTTCGGTATCAAGTACGAGTACCGATATTTTTTTTTTGGTACTCGTCGATACCGAGTACCGGTGCCTTGTGCCCCGATTATCAGCAAGTCGGGAGGCGGATCGTGATCAGTCGCCCGGCTTCCTGATTGCCTGCAAAGCCAGTGTTCTAGCGAAAGAACACCGGCTTCACTTGCCGAGGCTGCCTGGCTTCAGTCATGTCATGAGGTGTCATCCGGCTTCCTGAGTGGTCAGAAAGCCAGGCTGCCTACCAACAAGTGAAGCCGGCTTTTTAGCCAATCAGGAAGCCGGCCTACTTGACATGCTGCCTGGCTGATTGGCCAGCTTCCCAACCAATCTGGCCAGCTACCCGGGCTTTCTGATTGGCTAGGAAGCCGACTTCACTTGTTGCTAGATAGACTGGCTTCCTGACCAATCAGGGAGGCGGGTCATGACATGTTGCCCAGCTTCCTGATTGTATAGGAAGCAAGGCTGCCTACCTACAAGTGAAGCCGACTTCATAGCCAATCAGAAAGCCGGGAGGCGGGTCATAACCCACCGCCCGGCTTCCTGCTCCCTCGGCACTGCCAGTCAGAGGGAGCTCTCCCACTGACCGGAAGTTCCAGTATCGGAGCATTTGGTCGAGTACTCGCCCAAATACTCGTTATCAGCACCGATACCGACAATAGTATCGGATCGGGGCATCCCTACTACTTGGATGACCAGCCAAACGTCTACAAGAAAAATACAGCAAGTCCAGTTGCCTTGATTTATATTTTTACAGATATACCATGTGACTTGGATGAATGAGAACCGTCAGACAGGAGGTTGTTTGTTCTTAGCAGATCGGTTACAATGAATATATATCGCTTTAGCAAACATATCATTCAGGGATATTTTTCAGCCTCATTCATAAACCTTCAGGAAGAGGAAACGGTGTTGCCAAGCTGACAACCCGATTCTACTAAAGCTGACCGATCTGGCTGTACTGTGGCCTTTGGATTTACCAGAGGAAGGCAGTACATGGCCACTCCGAGTATAAAGTAAATGGATTGCTTTGTGTTTGTTGGTAAAGCCGAAGCAGATTGTACAAGTGAATATGGGCTTTAGGCGCACTGCTCCGAGCTGCTGACCTCTACGGAACACTGAGCGACTCTAGAATTGAAGCAATAGCAAAAAGTTTCCCAGCGCACTCGCCAGCCAGCAAAACAAAACTTGTCTCACCGCTAAGGTTAAAAACAGAGGTTTGGATACACGTCTTCTGCAGAACATGTGAAGGCCGCACAGCCGCGTCAAGGCCCCTCTGTATAGTGCGGTCATAACTCTAAACTATGAGAGTCTCCATCTTGGAGCACATGGGGCAAAAGGTCAAATTGGGTGCAGGTTTGTCAGGAGGAAGCCCAACCTCCCTTAGAGGCACAGGTACGCACAAGGGACAGCGCACATCACAACGGCAGCTGCGACCCCCCAATGCGTCAATTCTGCCTTCTAGAATTGAAGTGGCACCAGCTGCTGACGAGCCTCTGTCTAATTTCACATGATACTCTAGAAGTCATTACGTAACAAGTCCACATACATGTTCCCTATCTGTTAGGCCCTGATGAAGCATGCAAGGTTTGAGCTCCTAACTTCATGTAGTGAGCTGACAACCTTAACCCCTGCTGCTCTCTAATCCAAAGAAGTGTTGTCAGCCCTGCCTTAGCTTTTTCCTGCTGGACTATAGGACACCTTGCCTTTCCTCATCTCCAGTGAGGTGTTCTGTAATCCAGCAGAGGAAATCTGGGCAGGGCTGGCACAACTGCTCGGGATTTCAGTACGGCAACGGCACTATTAGGGTGAACCACAAAGCTGCTGAAGGCAGCCGAGCGAATAACCGAACCGTAGTGAAGTGAGCCGAACAACGTTCGGCTATTCGCTACGGCTCAGTACTGCTGATTTCAGCCGTACATTGACTGCCTTCGGCAAAACTCCAGTCAGCCGAACATGCGCTTCGGGTGAGACTTCGGCTCAGTCAAGCCAAAACAAATGCCTTTGGCTCAGCTGAGCCGCTCGGCCGTCTTTGGGTGCTGCACGGGCTATAGTGAATAGCTCGTACAGCAGCCCTTCGGTTCGACTGAACTGAAGGGCTCCGGCGGCCGAAGGATCAGCTGAAGCTACGGCTGGATCCTTCGGCAACTTTGTGAATAGACCCCTATGTTTTTTTTATTTTGCCCAGACAAACAGTTTAACACAATACCAAATGTTCCTGCATAGCACTGTTGTACGCAGATATTTTAAGGAAAGCAGCTTATTTCATTGGGTGACCGTAGCGGGACTTGTGTCTCATGCCTCAGTGCTGTCATTGGCTACTGATGTGTTAGTAGGCTGAATATTTTGTCATAATCCAACAAGTTGACTATCTACAGATGACAGGTGCACTTTGTTTGTGTTTTATGTGAGGGTAAAAATAAACCAGTGTTGTCTCTCTTCTGATAAGATGAAGGATTGTGGGACATTCTCATCAAGGACATCCCAAAAGAGGCAACGTCATACACCTTCAACATAGACATCCTGAAGCAGGGCGTCAGCTACGACTTCCGCGTCATCGCCGTCAATGATTACGGATATGGGACCCCCAGCCCACCGTCTACATCTGTCGCAGGTACAAAGAGCATTTTTCCTTTGACTGTCTAATGCCTGAATGTTTCTGAAAGAAGAAATTACTCTGTTGCTCAAAACAACCAATCAGAGGCTGGCTGTGATGTTTCTTGTTGCAAATAAAGACAGCTGATTGGCTGATTCTAGCTTCGGAGGATGAGAAGAATAGGCAGGAAAACAACCAACCAATGTGGGGGTCCACAAGGTGTAAAGAGGTTATCTACATCAGCCCGGAATAACCATCCCTAAACAGGGGCTGAGCCTTGGACATCCATCAGTTACATAAATGAAGTTTCAATGTATCTATCCCGGGGATCTGGCAACACTTCACACCTTCAGCCATGTAACTCGAATAGTTAGAAGAGAACTATGAGGAGTGAAAATCACTCGGCCTCATAGTTCGAGTTGACGTGTGACAACGAAACTCTCACATGTTGGCTCAATAGATCGGGAAGTGAGCGAACGCATACCGTCGCTCACTCCTCGATCCATCTCCCTGCAGAGAGCCGTGACTGTCACTCACCATTCCCTGCAGGGATTACCCCCCTCTCCGATCCTCCAGCACTGTCTGGCGGAACGGACGGGGGAGGGGGCGGGTAGCGCTGGCTCTGCCTCTAGATGGGCAGAGCCAGCTGTCACTCACGTAGCTGGGTGGATCCAGACAGTAATGTCGGGATCCGTCCCAGGTGCGGCGGTCTCAGTATACCGCGAGCTGTAGCCCGCTATATACTGAGCTTTGGGTGACGGGAGGACGCTAGTGTACAGGTGAAACTCGAATAATTAGAATATCGTGTAAAGTTCATTTATTTCACTAATGCAACTTAAAGGTGAAACTAATATATGAGAGAGACTCATTACATGCAAAGCAAGATAGTTCAAGCCGTGATTTGTCATCATTGTGATGATTATGGCTTACAGCTCATGAAAACCCCAAGAACCCCAAATCCACAACCTCAGAAAATGAGAATATTACATGCAATCAATAAAACACGGATTGTACATAGAACAATATCGGACCTCTGAAAAGTACAAGCATGCATATGTACTCAGTACTTGGTTTGGGCCCCTTTTGCAGCAATTACTGCAATTACTTTTGCACGATATTCTAATTATTCGAGTTTCACCTGTATGTCCTCCCATGACCCTTAGGAGAACTATGGGGGAAAACACTTACCTCATAGTTCTCTTTTAAAGGAGTTATAAAGTCCCGGCATCTCCTCTCCGGTTATGACATCAGCATTGTAATAGGAATACATACTGGAGATGTCTCTGGTAATACAATCAAAGCTTACTAGAGAAAATCCCTTTTATGTAGGGAGTGCCGCCTTCCGTCTGCCCATCACTTCCAACAACTTCCTGGATTCCCAGTGTGCTTTGCCTCTCTTTCCCCGCTGCTTGATGGGATGCAATCTCCATTTCTCAAGACTAAATATCCCATCATGCATTGCTCCTATCAAGCAACGATGTTACATTGTCCAGATGCTTAGTTGTAGTTCAGACTGCAGGCTCTGTGAGAGCGGTGACACAAGGAAGTTCATATTCACAGGGCTGAGTGATATGGTGTCAGTGCATTGAGGAAGTCCATCCTATGGGCGTCTTCAATAAGCCTGCACATTTCTGGATGGATCTGGTTATTAGGAGCGCGATAGAACTCATCAGAAATACAGATTTATTTTTATTTTTTGACCAGAGAAAACCTTTAAGGGAAGTGATAAACAGTTTAGGAACTCGTACTGTATATATCTTATTTATATGAAAGCTTTAGTTTGCAATTAAGCATTGAACACCGGGCGCCTCCGTGACATTCAGTTTGAAAACATGGGGTACGGTTGTCAGTGGGGTAATGCAGACAGCTGATATGAGCCACCCATCAAGGTTGGTTAACCCTCCAGTCCCACCTAGAACAGGTCAATTATTGTTAGGGATGCACCAATACTAGTATCGGTGCCGAAACAGAGTATTTAGGTGAGTACTCTGAGTCAGGGCCAGGTTTCCCACAAGGCCAACTGAGGCCTGGCCTTGGGGCAGCAGGGAGTAGAGGGGCAGCAGGAGTGTGCAATTCCTATCTCCCGGCCCGGGACATGCAGTTCCGGGCACGGGGCAAATAGTTTTCTACATTTAGCCCGGCTTTGGGCACGCAGAACTAAATGTACAGCAGGGAAGCCGCCGCTTGTTCTGTACAAGTGATCCCGGCGATGTCACCAGGATCACTTGTATGCAGCCTGCAGGTCTCCCATTCTCCATAGGAGGGGGTTGGCGGGTAGGCGGGCGCATTGAGGAACCTGGCCTTGGGGCAGCAGAGAGAGTAAATCCGGCCCTGCTCGTACTCGCCCAAATGCTCCGGTACCTTTGGCGATACTGGAACTTCCGGTCAGAGGCATATTTCCTCTGATCGGCAGTGTCGTAGGGGAACGTAAAGCCAGCTTCCCGTGCAATCAGGAAGCTGGGCGGCCAGTAATGACCCACCTTCCTGACTGCCTGGGAAGCTGGCTCCATGCTGATTGTCCGGGAAGCTAGCTCCATGCTGATTGGCTGGGAAGCCGGTTTCTCAGGCAAGCACAATCAAGCCGGCCAAACATGGAGCCAGCTTCTCGGGCAATCGGATTGTCTGGGAAGCCGGCTCCATGCCAGTGAAGGCAAAATGTCGGTACTCGTACTTGATACCGAAAAACCAGCATCGGACCACCCCTAATTATTGTACATCCTCTCCTTTCAGCCACGAAAGCCAACCCCTTCTACGAGGAGTGGTGGTTCCTGGTCGTCATTGCGCTCATCGGCCTCATCTTCATCCTCCTCCTGGTGTTTGCTTTGATCATTCGGGGACAGAGCAAGAAGTATGCCAAGAAATCGGATTCAGGTGAGAGATCCGGTCCAGCGACCCAAATTCCTGGTGCCATACCCTCCGCCGTCACTTCCTTCCTGAACAATCTCTCTCTGTCCCACACAGGCTGCAACCCCAAAAACAGCACGCTGGGTCACGGCGAAATGGTGAGCCTCGACGAGAGCCGCTTCCCGGCACTAGAACTGAACAACCGCCGGCTGTCGATGAAGAATTCTTTTTGCAGGAAGAACGGTATTTACACAAGGTGAGAAGACCGACGCGTGTGGCATATTGAATTGCTGGCCTCAAGGTAAACTGAATGGACTTTCAGACTGTAGCACAGTTGCAGTGTTTGCTGAATAGCAAATGTTTTCTCTCGCCGTTTGGGTTTGCTATTTAAAAAAAATGCCAAGCTTTTATTTTTTGGGGGCTTTGCTTCTTTTTTGGGTCACAGGAATGTACCGTATTTTGCGCTCCATAAGGCGCACCTGACCATAGGACGCAGGGAGGGTAGGGTTCTGTGACAGGTGGCGCTGTGATTACAGCGCCACGGTCTCAACGATCAAACAGAGCAGACGAAGAACGGACGTTCTTCGTCTGCTCTATGGTGAGCTCCTATGCCGTGGTCATGGGTCACCCAGAGGAGCGGGGGACCCCGAAAACCATGGCGGAGGGGCCTCGGACGCTATCGCCGCTCGATTTGATACAAGTGATGGGATTAGATCACTTGTATTAAACGAGCGGCGGCCCCACGCTGTACATTTAGCTCTGCTTGTCCGGAGCAGGGCTAAATGTACAAAAAAAAACGACTCACCCGGCGCCCGAAACTGCATGTCCCCGGGCTTTGGGTCGGTAGGGATTCGCTTCATAAGACGCACAGATATTTTTGCCCGCCTTTTGGGGATAAAAAGTGCGTCTTATAGAGCGAAAAATACTGTATTTACTAATGTACACCTATGAGCCAAAGTCAGCAGATAGCCCACTAACTGACAGCGCAGTTACGCCGCAGGATCCCGACAGACACCCTGGCTGCCGAAGTGACAGCTGGCTCCGCCTCTTTAGAGCCAGCCGTGCCCGCCCCCTCCCATCTGGCCCTCCAATGAGCACGTTGTGGTGCAGGTGCATTGGTGTGCCATTCAGAACAAATGGCACTGCTCTGCGCCATTGCAAGTAGTGATGAGCACTGCGTGTTACGGTTACGCGGTGCACAGGATGTTACCACAACGAAGCAATGTGAACGAGGTCTTAAATGCATAAAAGATGCGCAACAAAAGTCGCATGGAAATGCAGACGCACGAATGTGGAGACTTTTTGGATTTCCATACACTTTAATTATCAAGCTTTTCCAGCTGAGGATGTATGTTTCCTTTTGGTCTCTCTGACCAGAATCGTATTGGATACTTTGTACTTATAGAAGATGAATGTTAGTACCCCTTTATAACGGCGTGCGTTATCCTGCGGCCACCAATCAGCATCATCCGTCCGGATCTGAATCTGATTTCTGGCGGTGTCTCGGTTCTGATTCGAGAAGCGGCTCCAAGTCAGGTCATTGGTCTCGGTTCTGATTCGAGAAGCGGATCCAAGTCAGGTCATTGGTCTCGGTTCTGATTCGGGAAGCTGCTCCAAGTCAGGTCATTGGTTTTCCTGGAAAGTGGAAAGTATAAAACTTTATCAAATGTATACAATAAAAGAGGATTTTATAGCCGCTCCATCTATCCGCAGTGCAGTAATGTACTTCATTAGACTACGTCAATCATCTGATTGGTTGCCGCGGGTTACGGTACCCCTCCGCCTATTGCATGGGTTGCATGCTCATAAATAAAGTCCGCACTGTTTGAGCGCTGAGTGCGTCCACTCGGCGGTGAAGAGCCTGGCACGGGACACGTCGCCATATGAAGTTGTTGCTGCTTGTTGGTATTCAGGTCTCGTTGCGGCAGCGTTCAGCTCGGTCCTCCCGCTGGCTGCGCCACAAAGACTCCTCTGTTGGGAACATTACAGTAAAAGCACTTATGAGCCTGAGAAGGAGAGGCCGGATAGAGTGTCGCAGGCTGGCATGGGGCGAGAGCTGAAAGGCTCTGCGGGGTAATTAACCAAGTGCTCCTTGTACAGGAATTATATTCCCGGAGGGGGGTCACCTAATTGGATTAAATATGATGCAGATTTGCTCGATTTTGTCAATTTCGGACTCAGAAGTTGCTAAAAAAAATATATAGTATTTGCTAATCTTCAAACATGACTCATAAATTCTTCGATGGGCTTATTTAACTGTG